AGACTAGCTTTCGCCAGCGGCTTCACCCGCGTTGTGGGATGTTTAGTGAGATAAAAAGTATCCTATTATCTAAGTCAGCTAATACCCTATCTGGATACCAAATTTCATCAAAATCTGTTCAGTAGTTTCGGCGTGATTGACCGACAAACATTCAAACAAATAAACTTTCACATTTATAATATTAATAGGATTTCAATAACACAGGAGCTTTAGATACTAAACTTCGCATCTGAGTGGTATATGCGATGTTACCTTATATTAATTATAATTATTTTATTATAAGTTTCCAAAACTTTTTATATTTTCGAGTATACTTCAAACGACTATTATCAAGTACTCACACTTCCTTTTACAACTACAAAACATTTACAGAACACCATTTGTTTTATAACTTCCTTTGAAACTCTTCAAGCCTTGAACGACCCTTCGAATCGAATTTAAAATATGCCGAAGCTCTCTGCCGTCAGACTGTGGTTCGATAAGCAATAGCCCTAAGAGGGGCTTCTGAGGTGACACTTACCAAGATAAGGCACCCCGCTCTACCAGGGCATGTAATTTGTTACTCATTGCCGATCGCGATAACTATGTAACGCTGCTCACTGATACGAAGCACATGAAAGAATCTCTCGAAGTCTAGATCTGACAGAAATAAATTTGCTAATTCGATACTTTATCTGTGTAATTTATTTTTTGCGATACTGTCATTGTAAATGTTGTAAGGATAAGTAGTTATAAGTAATCACCGATATAAATGGATCGATAGAATAGAATCAAGTTTTTTTGCTGATGATATAACTAAATTAATAAATCTATGCATTAGCGCAATAAAAAAGAAAACCAACGGAAAAAAGATATATGACGTACAATATAATGCCTGGTGATAAATTTTTGAAAAAATCTTTGGGAAGAAAATACTATAGATATGAATTGAAGTAAAAAAAGATGGATTATAAAACAAATAGATTTCTGCAATATTAAATGTTTAATAATTTATTCTACTACAGTCGGCACTTTATAACACTTTTAAAATCCTAAACCATTCGATATATTATTCTTAAGTTCATCCTTGACATTAAATCTACATATAGTGTCATCTGTTAATAGACGCGGCACGTGGCGCGATTTAACATTTCCTTTATCCCCGACGTCCTCTCGAAGAGATTTTTCACGATTAATATCTATCGGAGCCACTGTCACTTCCATTTGTTGGCAGACACCCTCTACAAAAACAAGGATTAGTGCTTAAGCCCCTTAGGCGATGGTGTCTAATTTCCCGTTTGTTTGTAAAGGGCACGCTGTTTCTGTTTTTCTGTTGCCGTTTTCGTTTACAAAAATATACTGTTACTATAAATATTTTTTAGGAAAGAAGTAATTAAATTGCATGAAATGGCTATTTCTACAACAAAATATGAAATTGAAATGAAATGAAAATATATTTATTCAAATATTACAAGTACTTTTGAATCGTCAAAAAAAATTTTGCCCCTGCCGCTTGTTCAGGACGTCTTTTAGCTGACAAGAAAAACAAGCGAAAGAAACTTACCAGCTCTTTATCATAAGTAATGACATTTACAGGTAATGACATTTACATGTCATTACCAAAATAGTATGTATAATATCAAATAACAAAGATGCATTGCGATCCTTAAAATAATCATCAACTTTATAATAGCCTTTACTCATAAGTATGTTCTTTACATGAATTTTAAATTTATTTATGGGTAGGTCAATTACATTTTGTGGAACTTTATATACTAACATAACAATGCATTTACCCAGAATAGATCCTCTGGTTTTCTGAAGTTTGAAGCTTGGAACGGCAAGTTTATTTTTATTTCTTGATTCTTGACGAATTGCAAAATACTGTTTGTTACTTATAATCTTAAGCAGGTGTACACTTCTATACTTCGTCATCATGATCAGGTTCGTCTCTTCATAGTTTTCTTTAAATTATTATGTTTTTGATTGTTATAAATTTGTGAATTCTATAATATTATAGTGTTAATAAAATGAGTACATGGCGATCGCGGAATTCCAATTTAAGTGTCTTCAATTTAAATTGAAAATAACTCGAGACTTCATTTTCAATTTATGTTTCTTTTCTAATAAATCTGTAGCATATATTTAGCTTTATCGCTGAATTCGCATTAGCGTATCTTACAACCGTATCGGACGTTTCATTTATTTTCAACTCCTACGTCATTATTAATACATCTCTTTTATCATCTGCTCGCTTAATTGATTTGTCGTTTAAAATTGTCCGTATTCTTACCTCTCAATTACGCGTAAAGGTAGTGTCCGATATCGCATGCTGTCCGCCACTATATTTATGGCGGGCCAATTGATTGAATTAGTGGCCCCTGAGGCGTTCGCCCGATACTGACTTGTTTCATACAGATGAGAATTTATACCTCCAACTTCGGTCGTTAATTCCGATCCCTTTTCACTGCTACCACAAAACTTTTATTGGTAATATTAAAAATATTTTACCATAGCATTCGATATCGCATATCTCTATCGGAGATTTATTTAGAAAGATAATTTATATGCCATTTATTTTTCAATAATTATTTAAATAAAGTTTTGTTGTTTGTTTGTCGCTTTTTTTCAGTTAGCTTGATTCCACAGTGACTGATTTATACAGATTTATGGTAGAGTATGTTAGGATGTATCTGCAATCATTAGCCATTCTAGGCGTATAGTTGATTACAGTCCTAAATCTATGGCATTCTGCCTTTAAAGTCAATATACCTCTTCTTGACACGGTAGGGATATTAATTGCCGATCGTCAATGTTCTAATTATTTTACGTTTTCTTTAGAACAACTATCCCGTTTTGATAGATTTATCAAGTTCAGCGTAACCCGATTTGAATTAACTAAAACATAGACAAATAGAAGATCTCGGCTACTATACCATACATAGACGTGTATAGTAACTATAGTCAATGAATATTTTAGCAGAATAGAGTTAATGAAGGAAACCTCCTTTGTCCCGGACTGATAGTTTGATTAGAGCTTGACGGAAACCACAGTTTGTGATATAGAAACAGTCTAGATAAGTACGAAATAATAAAACTTTTATTTAAGATAGAAAATTATTTTTCTGTTTCTCAATAGATGGCGTTCTAATGGTAATTTTTTAATTTTGATCAGAATAAAAATATTTATATTATTATATTTGATTAATATATGCTAAATATATTCATAATGCTATACTGGAAAATATTTTTAATGCAAAATGCTTAAAAAATCCACGTTATCCCTGGTACCATCTCATTTCATACCAGGGACACTGCTGATTTTTTGTCGTGTGAGTGGTGAGTTATCGGTTGTTACGTTACCTTTGTCTTTTACATTAAATATTTAACACTATATGCTTCTCTTCAGAATTGCAACCCATCAAAGAACTTACGGAGATCAATTACAACAAATTCTCTTAATTGTTATATTTCTGAGAATATTCTATCGAAGTTGTATAACTATCTGTCGTCAGGTGTTTTAGAAAACTCTAATGTCAATGAAAGTATTTGGTATACCGGTCGGAAATACGATTTCTAATGCTATTCAATGTTCTTTGCTGTAACAGAATATTATTGAAATTGACTTTATGAATATATTATACAGTATTAATATAAATTGATTATAAATTGAAAACTAATTGTAGTAATTTGTAGTCATTTGTCGTTCTAAACATGGAAATTATCTTTCTGGCGTTGTTATCAATTAAAGGGTTTATCTGTTTCTTATATCTCTCAGTTGTTATATTTCAAATGCTGGTGTACAAAATTTTGGATTTAGCAATTTGTTAAGATATATATCTCATTTCATAGAAAGTTCTATATTAATTAAATCAATTTGGTAATGACATAAGTTCATGGAAGGGTTGATTTTAGAGTGTTTTTGGTGGGGGCAAACTTATATCCTACCGGTATCTGATAAGTTTCTTGTACCTATTTTTATTTATACAAAAGTCGTCCTGAATAACTGATAATAGACTGCTTTTGAATTAACTTTGGAGATTGAAAATTGACTTCTAATTAATGACGTCACTTATTTAAATTTTGTCGTAGATTTATATATTTATTATTTTAAACCGTATCAAACATGAATTCGAATTAAATGGAATTCTAATCATTAATCAAATGAGAAAAGGTATCTACTTATTGTTTTCTCAGAAATTATTTTATATACAATCGTATTTTTTGTGAAAATCTTTATTGTTTATATTAGCTATGGAATCTATTCCAAACCTACTAAGTAGAATTGTTCCTAAATATGATGGTATGAAGGAAATAGCTACCAATTAAAAAATGTTTGAAGATAAGTTTGCTCAATTTGACTTCGTACATAACATTATCTCATCTAGTAGTTGTGCATCAGTTTTCTGCGTTGTCACCGTGAAACAGTTAGGTAAGTAGACACGTGACTCGCATGCCCTCTACGTCCCAATTGACACGTCCAACCAAACCCACAGATCCAAACCGACGCGTGTGTTGAATTGTTCCTGTTGTAATTCTTGGGAGCCCTTCGTTGGGATTATTGAGTACCAGTTTATTTGGACGACTAGTGTTTTTGCGGGTCTCGACATGTTAAACTATTAAGGAGCAAGACTAATGATTTTTACTTATTGGTTTGAATTTACTCGGGTAGTAATCACATTGAATCTGAAGAATGACGAAACTGTCAAAACATTTTGAAAACATGTCACAATTTTTTTTGTAATCTCATGTACTGTTTATAAAAGAAAAATAATTACTCGATTGCTTACTAAATCACATATATTACAATTTGCAAGCCAATATAAACTAAACGGATTTATCTTTGCTCTCTCCCCAACTAACATATTACGTCATTAATGTTACCACAGCTTATGTTTGTAGAAGATAGCACTTATCATTAGCTACACACATGAAATCATCATCAAGCTTTTGCTACACTCCGCAAAAGCTCGAACTCGGCTACGGAGTCGGCGCGAAATGACAATTGGAGTGGGGGGTCCAGTGCCCTCGGAGACATCTTACGGGTAGGTTGTGTCGCTCTCTATTTTAAATACATCGCGATGTTTCGATATATTTTTTGGAATCCTTTATTGGGACAATCTAGAAGCAAAATTCAAATATAAAGTGTAATAAACTTATCATAAAGTGCATTTTCTATTGACTTTAATTGTGTAAAACATGTGTTGTGAAGAGATCGTGCGGATATATAATAATTAGCGTCAAGTATGGTCCCCGGTCCAATTAAGACTGATAAATATAAATCCAGCCAGTTAAAGGGTGTTGTGATTTTGTATATATTATTAAGTCTTCTCTGCAATACGAAAGGTAAGTTATAATATAAAAAAAAAAAAACTTGTAATGCAAACTCTGTAAATATATCTGATCTACAAAAAAGCTTTTGTATGAATTTATTTCAGTAAATATAGCACTATAAACAATTTCATAGAAGTAATAACATATCATAAAAGGCGGCTTTATTGATATTGTAGCATTTTCTTCCAGAGAAACTTAAAAATAAATTATATAAGGTTAGCGTTGTATAAAAAGCATGAATATTTGATTTTCATTTTAAGCTAAAAGCAGTACATGATTTATTATTTAAATAAACGATACCTAATGGTTATGTTATCTTTATTAATGTTCATAATTTTAATATAGTGGATACAATATTTGAAATCATTAATGAAAATGAAAAAATATTTTTAATTATTTAATAATTATTTGATTAAATAAATACCCATATTTAGATCCTGAAAAAGTGACGTAATTATTTCACTAGTTTTATTTTTTTTAATTTATTTAGGGTTCCATGCCCAAAGGGTAAAACGGGATCCTATTACTAAGACTTCGCTGTTCGTATGTCTGTCTGTCCGTCCGTTCGTCTGTCACCAGGCTGTATCTAATGAATCGTAATTGTTAGCTAGTTGAACTTTTTAACGGATGACACGGAATAAAATTAATATTTAAAGGGGCTCCCATACAACAAACATGATTTTTTTGCTTTTTCATTGATAATGGTACGGAATGATTCGCGCACGATTCAGACTCGTACTTGGCTGGTATTATAAAACTACTAACTTCCTGATTTATAAAAAAACAACTTAGAGAACTTTTTATTAATCTCTTCAATTGAGAAGTGACAATTGCAATATATTGCACAGATACAAAGTAGCTAAAGTCCTTGCATTACGGATATCTGGAATAGTGAAGGTCCCACAACACAAAAACGCGAGATCATATAGATCAGTTTATTTTGTATATACACTCGCCCGGGAATCGATCTAGGGGCTTTAGAGATGGTGATAGAGATAGCGGCGTGCGGATCACTTAATCGTGGAATTCGTGAAATATTGCCGTTACAAATTAAAAATAAATATTAAGATAAAATCAATAGTAGCTCGGTGGCGTAGTGGATAAGCGCCGCGGCCCGCCATCGTAATCGTTAAGCAACTTTCGCAAGGGTCGGTCACGGGATGGGTGACCAAAAATTATTATTTCGAGCTACTCCGTGCTTCGGAAGGCACGTTAAGCCGTTGGTCCCGGTTGCATTTGCAGTCATTAATACCCTCCAATCCGCATTGGGCCAGCGTGGAGGGTCATGGCCCATCCTCCCTAACCATCTATAAGGAAGGCCTGAGCCCCTGCAGTGGGGACGTAAAAGGGCTGGTGATGATGATGAGATAAAATCAATAAATTTTATAATAAATATTTTGTTAAATATTTATTATTATTATCTGTTTTAAACTACATCTATAATACAAATTACATTGAAACCATTTAGAATCAACCTCGAATATCATTAATATAAATGTCAAACGCCTGTCAATCAATTTTTTTCTACTAAGCCCAAAGTCGTGCGCCACGAATCAAAGAGCATCCTGTGGATACGATTGTCGGGAGAAGTGAACCTGCAACCCTGAGGTGTGTGTCCGAAGGCAAACCGAAACCAGTTATACATTGGTACAAAGATGGATCTCCACTCGCACCAACGGATAATCCGCATAGAGTCCTCCTGGAAGATGGGCTTTTATTTCTTAGGTAAGCACATAGCAAATTGAATATAACTTTAAAAAAATAGAAAATATTGAGCTCACATACGGAGTAGTTAGGTTAGGCGTATGATATAAATCGTAAGTGATTCCGGTCATGAGGTGGTTTAGCTCCTCCATGCTTCGGCCATCTTAAGGCGTTCGTTTCAGTTGGACCTGCGTGGTGGGATGTGGTCAATTTTCCTTATTCGATTCTATCCATAGGGAAATCCTATACCTCAATTTTTGATTATTATTAGGCTGATAATGAAGTAAATACTATGAATGAGATAGCATATACTTTAGTTTATATTGCTTTGATCTCAAAATGGTATGGTCTTTGGAATGCGAAATCTCTAAGGTTTAATGCGATGGCCAATATGAATAAGAGTTCATTTTGCATATCCTATTTATTTATTATTTTCACCTAATATCAAAGGAACATTCCTAAACGAAACAAATAGAAGCATCAAAATAGAAAGCATTATCCAAAATCGGATTTATAACGTCATAAATGATGACGTCTTTAAATAAATGAAGTTGGTAGGCTTTTAGCAGTTTATTAGTTTATGACTAATTGTTTACACCAATATAGGGTCATGCGTGGAAAAAAGGAAAGCGACGAGGGTGTATATTGGTGCGTCGCACGTAACACAGTGGGGGAAGCGGTTAGTAAGAATGCGACGCTTACTATAGCCGGTGAGTAAATCAAAATCATATTAAAATAAGAATAACACTGATGTACCTAATAACCAATGCCAGTAGCTATGTTTTTCTTTCGTCTCACATATAAGATTTAATTCATGTGTGTCTATTGTCTATTTGAAGTTTTTATTTATCTCAGCGCATTAACAAAAAGGACATTTAATATTAACAAATAGATTATGACAAGAAAACATGTCCTATTATATCAAAGACCGATATCTAATGATGCAGTATAAAATAGTCATGTAGGGTAAAACGTATTTAAATCTCAGGAAAATAGAATACGACTAAAGAATTAAAATATTTAGGACACTTGGACTTCGCATCCTGTGTTTGAAGAGTTACTTAGGGGAAGGGTTAACACTCCCATGATTTTCAACATTTCAAACATACTAGTTATATAAAAAATAAAAGTAATAATAGCTATATAGGCACTTACCCTCTGCACCCACTTTATCCACAAGACTAACTCAAAAATCTTAAACAATACTACAAGATTCAATTACCGATTATCAAATTCGACGTATTTATGATCCAGTCAACGATTCAATGTATTAATTTTACTGAAGATATTTATTTTTATGCATATAAGGTACACAATTCGAGTAATCGAAGAATATTAGATGTAAATATCTATATATAAAAAAAAATGCTTTAAAAGTCCACAGTCTCTAGAACATCGAGATGAGATTTAGGCGTTTCTCTTTAAGGATATTAATCAATATAGCATTGTAAATGCAAAATTTATCAAATATGATGTTAGAACAACTACCATATAAAATACTTAGGTATACAAGTATATAACAATGAATGGTGGTTATTAATAATTATTTAGTTTAATGTTTCATTTAAATTTTAGTACTACGCGATGAGTTTAGAATAGAACCTCGCGATGTAAAAGTAGCAAGTGGTGAACCAGCCTTACTCGAATGCTCTGCTCCAAAAGGCGTACCCGAACCATCCGTACATTGGACTAAAGATGGTCATGGCTTGGACGTAGAACTTAACGGGCGGTATGTTATTTTTCCAGTAATCAATTAAAAAATCACAAACACATAATATGTCGCGTTTTCACAGACTACCCGTTTTATCGGTGTGCCGATTGATTAGTTAAAAATAAATAATTTGAGAAACTTATTCAAAGTCGAAATTAGTTGTCAATATAGATACTTGTAGTTTTTATAGTTAATCTAAAATATCTTAATTCTTTGATAGAAAAGAAACTGCTGCAAATTATTTTAAAGAATACAAATCAGTTTTAATTTTATAAATATAATTTAATAATTTAACAACTGTTTGTTATCAGGATATCTATTGTCGATGGAGGTAACCTGAAATTTTTCGAAAGCCTACCATCAGATAGCGGTGTATACAGATGTGTCGCCTCTAATGTTGCTGGCGAAAGGCAATCACGTCCTGCCACATTGCTTGTGTTACGCAGACCACATTTTCTAGTGAAACCTAATAACATAACGGCTTTAATAGGCCAGAACATTGAGTTTCACTGTCAAGTAAGTCGAGGAGTAATAAGTTTAATTTTTCATTTTTCTACCTAGGTACTTAGAAGATACTGTTTCCTCTCGATTAATGCGATCTTGATTTCCTTTTTATGATACACAAATAAGCTTTTATTAACCAATTTATCTTAATTTTAATTAAATTATACTTCTTCAAATCAATTAGCAATAATTTAACCTTGTTCTTATAAAATGAATATACATCATTTTTCATTTTAGGCTTCGCCAGAATCTGATGTATCGGTAATGTGGTCTCGTGATGATGGTTCGTTATCACCTTACGCTATTATTCGAAGAGGTTCATTACGAATAGACCGAGTTACTACATCGGACGCAGGAGTTTATACGTGTAGAGCTGAAAGTCAAGCCGGAAATAGCATAGCTTCTGCAACACTTACGGTGCACTGTATGTGTTAATAAAATATACGGAAACAAATTGGTTACAAAATATTTTTTATTCTAGTAAGTAATTGTTTCAGCTTTACCCCATTTCAAAAGGGTGCCATCCGATCAAACTGCTTGGGAAGGAGAGGCAGTGTCTTTTCCGTGTGAAGCAGATGGTTCACCGACACCAATTGTCTTTTGGACTATGGAAGGATCACAAGTAAATTGACACCTTAATAATTTAATTATATTATGACTGAGTTAATTGATTTTTCATTTCATGATATACCGGGCTCAAAAACTCAGTCGTTATTTGTGATACAGTCTTAACTATCATTGTTATATATTTTTATGTGATTCTCAGGAATTAGTATTCCCTAAGTCGACACATGGTTCAGGATCTTTGTACTTAGATAGAGTACTTATACAACATGCAGGAAGACTCACATGTGTCGCTGTAAGTGCAGCGGGGAGTGCTTTGCATACTGTATCACTTCAGGTCAGTTATGTTAAATTAGGTACTATAATGTATCTCAGTAACTACCAAATACAATTTTTAAAGGATATTATTTTTTAGGTTCTGAGGAGAGAGGCTAATTCTTTTAAAGGTGACCCTGAGTCTTCTTCTCCATACCCTGAACTAGGAAAACCCCAAAACCATCCTCCAATGACTCAGTATGAATTAGTACAAGCTCGCCGATATTTACAACAAGATGTATTAGCATTGAGAAGGGTTGAAGGAATATCTTCTACAACTTTAAAAGTCGTCTGGGATGTAAGTTTATTCCCTGGTATGTATTTACTAAATTAGAAAAGTGTTTTTTTTTATTCTATTAATTTCATATTACAGGTGTTAACTGATTACAATGAGTACTTAGAAGGAGTAAAAATATGGTTCAATGGAACATCCCTCAACCGACAATATGCAATAGATACACAAATATCTCAAACTTCAAATACAACTCTAATTGATAGTTTAGCAGAGTTTAGCAAATTCGAAAACTTTTCAATGACAACCGTGCATAACAGTGGATCATCTAGTCACGTTTTGACCGGTTTAATACCATATGCTCAGTATGATGTATTTTTAATGCCATTCTACAAATTGTTATTGGGTAAACCTTCCAATTTAAAGACGGGATTTACAGAAGAGGATGGTAAGAATATTTTTAGAGCTCTACTATTTTTAAAAATTATGACGTTTGATATTTTGTTTGTAATACTGTAATGTTAATAATATAATTGTTCCTTTTTTATATATAATATTTTACATACACAATATCTGAAGCGAAAGTTATTTTAGTGACGAATATTCAGGTGCTAATGGCATTGCGTTTATTTTAGTTCCATCAGCGGCACCACAGAGCCTTTCAGCCGGAGTGATAAATGCGACGTCAGCGTGGATCCGGTGGGACCCGCCGCCCGCACATGCTTGGAACGGTGAACTTTCTGGTTACTTGGTTAGTACTTTTTCGTTGACGATCCAAAATCCATTTAACTTTTTCAACTAAAATTTATTTTACCCGACTTGTCTTTGGCTTACGATTTTATCGCTAAAGTGATTGATATTTTTTATCGTTTCATAGAAGCATATGTTACAAAAAATTCATTCTGCTTTTAATAATATAATATATTAAAGTATAATATCACAAATTAAATCACTAACATTTTGTAAATTTATTAAGATTGAAGTTAGAGTTGGTGGAGGGAACGGCGGTCGAGTAGTTGGACAGATGTCTTTAGGAGCAAAAACACGAGCTGCTGCTGCCAGTTCATTGCGTGCTGGTGGTCGTTATAGTGCACGTGCTGCCGCCGTCACCAAAAAAGGACATGGTCCTTTTAGTACGGCAGCACATATACACATGGTACCAACGCAGACACAAAGACATTATGTTCAGTAAGTTAATACGCACACTATATTTCAAAAACTTTCAACTTTGAATGATTCAGCAATTTTCGTATGTATATTTATTGCTTACTGTTTTCCAATTGTTACAGAACTGAACCGACAAGAGATAAAGCGATATTGTCAATGTTCCAAGAAACTTGGCTTCTGACTTTGTGCGTGACTTTATTAGTACTGGTATTGATCGGTGCCGGTGTAATATTTTATATCCGACAACGCAACTCTAAACAAAGGAAAAGTCAGAATACGACAAGTAAGCTTGCAATTTGGAAAATTAAATCACATTACCTAAAATTGAATTAAGATATTGTATTTTAAAATATTTTTTCATAGGTACAGCAATAGCCAATGCTCAGCAATGTTTATTGGGGAAAGAAGCAGTGTGGCTTCGTGAGAGACCTACATTTGAAGGGTCCAACGAACCTAGAATAGAAATCTTAAATTGTCACCAGAGTCTTCTGCATAGTAAGTACTTTTGGTTTATAATAATCTGTCAGATTTTGATTTTATAGTGATGCTAATAATGTAATATTATTCCAGCTGGTCACTCAATTGGAACAATGCATATGGAAGCCGAGTATACCTTACCCCAACATACTAGTAACATGAATGCAATGCCTCAAGAAGATCACAGAAGGATAGCACCTGAACCATATGCCTCCAGTGCTATTTACACAGAACTGAATTACCAGGTAACATTTTTTTTTTCAATATATATTTTATTGACAATTAATTACATGCTAAAGAAATAAATTACATTCGAATACATTAGTTGCAGAATCATACCGACGCAGAAGATTCTTGTATGAAATGTGCTATTAGTCCCGGTTCCTACGACAACAGTATGGTCAGATCTTATGGAGAAAGCAATCAATATTCCAATGAAGAATGTTCTACGTGTTGTAGAAGTAGCAGTTCCACATTAACTAAAGAATATAGTGATATGACGAAATGTGGAAATGATGCTGATGAGATCCAAGATATGTCTTTAGATGACTGTCCGTCATGTAAAACTAATCATTCTAGATCATCGAGTCATCATGACGGCAATAAAGATTGGGCTATGGCGGAAGTTGAATACGATTATCCGCAGTGGCATTGGATGGGTAGGGAAAATAGTTTTCGGCAAGGAACTCACGATACTAGAAATTCGTCTGGAAAAACCGAACAAAACTGCAGAATGAATTTGTGTGATATTCTTCCACCACCACCATATGAAAGGTATATTTCAATCATTAAAACTTGATGATTGATTGATGAACTTGACTTGATTGATAATAAGAGTACTTTTGTTAATAATCTTCCATTTCAAACGTCAAACTATATATTACTATTGTCATGTATATCATGGAATTATATAAATATGTTTCAAATACAATTTTTTCCACAGAGAATCTCCTTATCGAGAAATGCACGCATTTGCAAGTCACTCAGGGGCATCAGGTTGTTCAGGACATTCGTATAGAAGTTAATTATTTTTTATCAACCATGTTGTAAAACGAATATCATTAGTACGTAATCCAAGCAATATTATTAATAAAAAAGAGAATTGTAAATACTGTAAAAAGGTTTGTGAATATTTTGACTAAAACAATGATTGAATGACACTTGCACCGTTCACGTGAATATACCGCTTAAAAGACTCATCTGCTATTTTATTGCAAGTTGAAATTCAGTATAAGCGCATAAAATCGATTGTGTATTGCACAAGATAGATTTTTTATACCATGGATATACTTATTAATTATAATTCCAATTATATGTACGTACCTATTACAATCATATTTGCATGACGGTGTAAGAGTTAGTTTGTAACAATCTTAGCTATTGTGAGAGTGTTTTCAAATAGACTGCTATTATTTAAGGTATGTAGGCCAATAGGTTTCATCTTTTCTAGTGACTGTGATATAGTATAATTTCTTATTATTTTTATTGTAATTGTTTTGTATATATTTCTACAGTTTGATATCCTTATACAATTTTATCATTATTATTATTCGTATATTTATCTTCTAGAACAACAAACCAATGAATTTTGATTGGACTTTGTATCACATAAATTGGAAGCTTTTGTATTGAAATATTTCTGAGATTTTTGAAATGGAAACTTTCAAGGTAGGCACTCATATAAACCAGTCAGCATTAATAAAACAAATAAGATTTTTACGTGTTTGGTTTTTATTTCTATACTAAAAATATTATCCTAAAAAATCATGACATGTTTTTTTATATAATATTTATATTGTAAGCGCATGCAAAATCTGTGTCATATTTATAAAATGTCATTTATTTTCTTACGCACGTTTGTCCATATACTTTTAGCATCTTTATTAATTAAAGACAAAATTTTCGAGTATGAGTATTTATATCATAATAAATCCTCTTTTACGCTACTAAAGTGAAGTTATTCTCACTGAGTTACTCTTTGAATTTTTGCTTTGGACAAAAATAAACCATTAAAAATATATCGTATATAAAACTTTTATCCATAAAAACCAGTTGTTTAGTAAAGTTTCGTATAGTTCGCTTTAGTTATCCGAAAACTTTTTTAAACAAAGAATTTATTGCCCTATAAAGTAAGTTCTTTCCTTGCAATTAAAAGTTTAATTCGGCTGTAAATTGAGAATAGATCGTAATTTTTTTTTCGCTGAAAACATCTAAGTTTCAGCTGCAGTAAGTCAACATTTTTTTAGATCGGTGTTTTAAAGAGACTAGTGTTTCTATTTATAATTGATCTTTTGCGAAATGACTCTATAAATATTGACACAACTTTCATAAACATTGTATGAAAATAATTTCTTAAGCGGCATCAATAAAAAATACCAATAGCAAATTCCCTTTTATATGTAGGGTTGTGATCAAATTCTAAACATATGTACTATCGTTAGGTACTCGAAATCAAATCCTTGTTGGAGTGAGCCTATTTTATATAAAAATAGTATTGATTTTTAATAACAGATCTATTTTGAAGTTAATTAAAAATAATAAAAAAGTCACTTTTTATAATACTAGTATTGGATGCCACATTTAAATATGCAACCTAGTTTGCAACATAGAATTACTAGAGTGACAGGTTCGATGCTTAGGCAAATGAATAAAAGGCTGACTAAGCTTGAAAATTTCATTTATTTGGGGATAATAAGAAATAAACTGTAACAAACAAAAACTAAATATAAAAACAATTCCTATGATTACCTAAACATATAATTACAATTGTTAAATGGAACAACTACATAATCCGTTTCTGGAGTTTCCGTAATAGATAAAACTTGGAAGATATTTCACGAATATTTTTTAGATTTACATTTTTCTCATTTAAATTATAGTAATTTTATTTTATTAGATTTATATATTTAAGTTTATATGATTAAATTATCACATTCACAGCAGATGAATTTCTTACGAACTGACATTCATAAAGAGCATATTTGATTAATCAAAATTTCAAATTACGCAAGGTGAATAATAAAAAGAAATGATATTGAAGATCAAAGACAAAAAGTTTGCACACCTAGGACGAAATAAACGGTCGGTGGTACGGCGCACCAAAGTCAAAGTCGAAGTCAAAATAATCTTTATTCAAATAGACTTCTTAAAAGTACTTTTGAATCGTCCAACATTTTTTCCCTACCACTCGTTCAGGACGTCTTTTGGCTGATAAGAAGAACGAGCAAGAAACTCACCAGCTCTAATAAAAGTAATGACATTTACAAAAACCGTTACACCGTTACACAAGTTAACGTATACCTAACACCAAACAGGTCGGTACGCTGAACGAGGCTACCATCACAGTTGTAATCAGCTATCCTAATAAATTACTGAACACGTACTAGTACGGTGCAGGCTGCGCCTAAGCTTTGGGGTGTTGCCATGGTTACCGTCCACGCACCCCCGAGTGCACCCTTGTTATTAATACTCCTAATAATTAAACTTGATTGCATTTCTCACCAGGTGTTGGATGACTACTTGTCAAGAATTGATACACGTTGTTACGGATTTAATTAAGCGTAGAACGATTAAGATATTGTGAAAATTGAGGGTGCGAATTTCACATGACTTTGTTACAAAGCGTTTGTGCTTAATGTATTTTCAAGTTTTATTATTTAATATTAACTGAACAAATAGGTACTTTTTTATCCTAAACGTCATAGGTATGCTCGCAGTTGGTTATAATTTTGTCCGACATCTATCATCAACGTTATATTTCAGCCCATTCACACAAAATTATAATAAACTGTATACCAAAACCTCCATTTTCTTCATTCTTAAGTGAAAAAGGGGCATCAAAGTATTTTCGGTAGTTTTTGCGTGTTTAGCGTATCTATACTACTAATATAATAAAGAGGAAAAATTTGATAGTCCGTTTGTTTGCATCGAAACTACTGAACCGAAAAATCTTTTACCTATGGGTAGCTACATCATACGAGGTTGACATAGGCTATAATTTATGTGTGTGACATCGCGGGACAACAAAAAACAAAACACGATCCAATTTATTATGCTAGTATTATAAATGCAAAAGTTTATAAGGATGGTACATACACACAGTATGTATCATCATGGTCACCAGACTTTGAATGTCTCCAGTGCTGAGGCTCAGACCTTCCCTATAGATAGAATAGAATCAAATCGAATAGGGCAAATGGGTCATGACCACGCGAGTCTATTGTGGAATGGTGGGTGTTAAAGACTACAGACACAGCCGGGACCAATGGCTTAACGTGCCTTCTAAAGCATGGAGGAACTCGAGTTCCTATTGTTTTTGTGTTATCCAACCTATGAACGGCCCATGCGAAAGTTCACAGACTGACTGCGCTAAACACCGCGCCATTAAGCTCTTATGCGTGTTGCATCTTTGATATTCTTACACGGAATAACTGCTGAACGGATTTTGATGTAATTTTGGTATACGGATAATTCTGAGCCTGAATTAACATAAAGGCTACTTTTAACCCACTTAACAGTTTCCTAATGACCTAGCGGGTGAAGCCGCTGGCAAAAAGCTTAATTTTAAATAATTACGTACCTTAGACTCCGCGAGGTATCGTTCACACTGACAGCACGCGATCCGGAGTCCGTTGGATCGCTTGGAATAGATCTAGCTTACTAAGTATTTACGAATAACGCCGACGTGGGTAAGTATGCAACCAAAGCGTTTAGCCAAAAATGTCCAATATATTTATGTATACAAATAGACGTTCACAACTTATACAAAATGAAACCTTATTTAATTGATAAACCTAATAAAGGTCGCCCCTCTGGAATATCTTATTCAATATCGGAAAAATTAAAAATGTAATTTGAATTCAATAAAATAATTTGTAATAATTTCGATTTTTCTTTAATTATGAACGTTGTTTTCCAGTAAGTATTATGGTAATGTTTTCTTGATTAGTTATATTCTACATTCTTAATGGAAAATACTTTAAAAATGGGACGCGAGCCCATGACCTTTTGCAATTCGGGTGTTGCTCTCACCACTGAGCTACCAAGGACCTAACAGGACTGACCTGTCCCATCTCAGAGCCCCAGGGATTTTTAAGCATATTTTATTATATATTTATTATATATTTTTTTTGTATATTATGAAGAATAATTTTAGTATAACATTGTGAATGCAAAAAAAAATATCAAATAAAATATTATACATTTCTATATACTTTCGGCATGCTTATTTTTCATCAACTAAGTGTTTGTAAAAGGTTCAATAGACTTTAACTTAAGCAGAAAATAAACACAGGAAACTAAAACATCCCTCCGTTCTCCATACATCATCAAATTTCATTGCGCTCTCCGCCAAATCAAAATTCCCTGGTCGTTCCCGCAAAAGAAAACGTGACTCCTTTCAATCATACAGCGGGGAGGCTGAGAATTTTATATTTTCTTTATTAATCAGCACTCCCCAAGCCGTTTTGGAAATAAAGAGCCCTCTGGCGGAGTCAAGTACCAACGGGACAAGGAAAAATTGAATGTGTGTGCACTCGAGCACATGAGCGATAAATTGTGTATCACAGATTCAAATGAGATGTAAATAAGAATGAAGTCGTATAACTAAAAAATGAGATGAGACGAAGTCGAATAACTAAAAAAAATGTTTGACTGTTGAAATTGGGCCACAAAGTTTAACTAATAAGCAGGCTTAGCTGATAAATATCAACGGATGATATATATCGATTAATATATACGTTGATATATATCAATTGATATTTATTATTAGTTTGGGTATTCAATATCAGCTAGAAAATTAACCATCCTGATGTGATGCTGGTAATATTGGCTCTATTTATCTTATTTAATTTCGGGTTTTCCCCTATACGTTATTGGGAATCGCTCACATACTAGTTTTTAATTATTTTATAGTAGATAAACAAATTTTATATAAATCATACACAATCTTTATATAGACTTTTTAAATATTAAAAGAAGCTTTTCAAAAGCATTATATATATCGGATAAATATTGAATATCGGATATTTTTATATTTATCATAAATATCGATTTTTTGCGAACCCTGCTATTAAGGGTGTATTCTCAAAGAATAGGTATACACGGGTAAACTTCTATATGATTGATTGACAGTAATTAAAAAAAAAATTAATGTTTTATAATTTAAAAATTTATTTACTAAATTGGTGTATTTTTTAATATTAAAAGAACTCCTTCTCAATAACTCCATCCGCGTAATTATCACAATAAAGTGGTCGAAAGTTTTTCTTCAAGTAACGAATATGATATTCAAGATATTAATTTACTTTTAAGAACTCGTGAAGAAATTAATAATGCAAATTGAAAAATGAATTACTCAATCCAAGGAAGAAATTTCTATAAAGTTACTGGTTAATTAATACTCATCTTAGTCAAATGTTCTTCCAAAGATTCTTCAGTGTAAGTTGTGCAATTCGATTTATTAGTTTTAACATCAAAATTCCAACCTTATCGATTCACTCAAAACCACCACTACGAATACGTATTCAAATAAAGAATAGTCAATGATCCTTTTTATTTAATTCGTCGTGTCCCTCGTGCGTGGTAGCAGGTATCCATTGTTTGACACGTGTATCTCCCATTCAGAATGACAATGTAGGCAAAACAAATGAATACCGCCTCCAGACAAACGGAAGACCGGCCGATAATCTAATGGGTAGCGATGCTTTTGATTGATATT